TCCGGGACAGGCGGGAATCGAACTCATGCAGAAGTGGCTTTAGCTTCTTAGTGCTGTGCTTTAACCCGCTGCGCCACCAGGGAGGGCCCAAGCATGCACTTTTTAACTTGGAATAATTATGGAGCTATTTGGCAATTATTCAGTGTATTTGATTAAGACAGGAAAACTTGGTCATTAACACCTACATAAATCAGCAATATTAACTTTTCTAATTATCCTCTGCCCTTTATTACCACTTACTCCAACCAAAAAATACCTCTATTCTTACTTTCTGGATAATAATGTTACTGTTGAAAGATTCTTTAGAATTTAAATAATCCAAGTTGCTCATTTTACTAGTATATGAAGAAAGACTTATGTAGTTTGTCTTGCTAAAAGTCACACAACTAGTTAAGGGAAATGCTGGTACAAGAACCAAGTTTTAGTCAGTCAGTCTGTTGATAATGTGACTTTTAATACCTTCCCTCATGCTCTCCTAGTGCTTTTTCTATTAAACTGTGCTATCTGAATATGATTCCATTTTATTTCTCCCTTCCATACAGTGTGTGAAATTCTCCACCAGTATTAAGTAAATATCCACTAACACATAAGCACAATACCCAGGGGCCCTCAGCTTAGAAACATTGTACATATCCATTTTTCCCAGACTTTTAGGATCCTAGCAATCAATAGATCTGTGATGGGACCAGAAAGAAACAAAACTTTATCAGGCCTATGTATAAATCAAACAGTGGTCCACTCCATGAAGTCAACAATTTCATGTGCAGAAGCATTTGTTCTTTTATTTCATATGTTTTCTCTCTGCCCTCATCACATCCCCATGTAAATATTTTTTATTTGGACAATGGGAGAGGAGTGGCTCAATTTAGCTTATAACTTTCTAAGTTTGTTAATGACTTAAGGCAAATAAAGGTCAGGATGTTGAAGACATTTGTTCTCATTATGGCTGCTAATCAACCTTGTTCTTCAGTGAAACAGAGTACAACTTGGGAGAGAGCTTCCCACAGGTTTATTCCAGCATTTCCCCTACTAAAGTAAACATAGGATGTACTTGGGCTTACTACAAGAATGCTGTGGGCTGCAATATTTAACAGATTGGATTTTTGCAAATCTTTAAAAAATGGGAGATGTATGGATCTTACTAAATTGGTTAATCTAAATCTACAATGATATTTCACAAGAATGGAGCAAAAAAAGTGCATCAGATTTTGTCTGAGTTTATCTCAGTATTGCTCATGTTGGGTTTGGACATATAAGGTGGCTTGGAAAGTGGTGGGAAAGGGTAGCTTTGGAGTTATGCAGCCACTTATTTTAGTTTACCTTTTATTGCTGTTATATGACTTTCAAAATAATATGTGAAGACATTGTTCAGATCCCTCGTGCAAACATGAATGTCATAGGATCATATTTTCTAAATGCATGAAAAAAGCCATATTTATGATGCTATTGTATTGAGAGTAACCCACTTTATGTTTTTATTTTACTTTCTGCTGAGGTGTTCCTATTCCTGCGGCCTGGCTATACTTAGAAATGAGAAGAAAACATGAAATGATATGAAAAGATGAGTGGAGGACAAGGGAGAGGGGGCAAATTATCTACTTTAAATATTATTTTGGGAGGGAATATTTAGGGGGCTATCTATGATTAAAATCAATATAACTATAAATTTATATTTGTACTACAAAATACTAGACATTAAAATTTCAAAATAAAAAATGAAACCATAAAAGTATAAATAGAATAATGTCTATAGTTTGGAGCAATGACCTTCATGGTCCAACTTACAAAATGGTTTTAAAAGGAATGTATCTGATCAAATGAAATTTAAAACTTTCTCCATGGAAAAATATCAGAAGCAACATCAAATGACAAACTGGGGGAGATTTTAATTCATATCA